CAGTTATAGTTCCGCTAAGACCATGCCTGACAGTTATAACCAAGACTATGCCTCGACAGTTATAACTAAGACCATGCCCGACAGTTATAACCAAGACCATGCCTGAGAGTTATAACCAAGACCATGCCCAGGAGTTAGAACGAAGACCATGCCCGATATAAATCCAAGACCATGCCCGAGAATTATAACTCAAGACCATGCCCGAGAGTTAAAACCAAGACCATGCCCAAGAGTTATAACCAAGACCATGCCCGACAGTTATAACCAAGACCATGCCCGGAGAGTTAAAACTAAGACTATGCCCAAGAAAGTTATAACCAAGACCATGCCCGAGAGTTATAACCAAGACCATGCCTGAGAGTTAAAAACTAAGATCCATGCCCAAGAGCAGTAACCAAGACCATGCCCCATAAAGTTATAACCAAGACTATGCCCGAGAGTTAAAAAACCAAGACTATGCCCAGTTATAACTAAGACCATGCCCGATAAGTTGTAACCAAGACCATGCCCGGCTGGAAGTTATAAATCCAAGATTATGCCTAAGAGTTATAACTAAGACCATGCCCGAGAAAAGTTAAAACCAAGACTATGCCCAAGAGCAACCACGACCATGCCCGATAAATTATAACCAAGACCATGCCCGAGTTAAAAACCAAGACCATGCCCTGAGAGCGGTAACCAAGACTATGCCCGGAGAGTTAAAACGAAGATCATGCCCACAGCGGTAACCCCAAGACCACATGCCTGAGAGTTAAAACCAGTATTCATGCCTGACAGTTATAACCAAGACCATGCCTGAGAGTTATAACCAAGACCATGCCCGAGAGTTAAAAACCAAGACTATGCCTAAGAGTTATAACTAACACTAAGCCCGATAGTTAAACGCTATCCATGCCCGACAGTTATAACCAAGACCATGCCCGACAGTTATAACCAAGACCATGCCTCGAGAGTTAAAAACCAAGACCAGCCTAAGAGTTATAACCAAGACCATGCCTGGAGAGTTAAAAACCTGGACTGATGCCCGAGAGTTATAACCAAGACCATGCCCGATAAAGAAACCAAGACCATGCCGACAGTTATAACCAAGACCATGCCCGAGAGTTATAACTAAGACCATGCCTGAAAGTTAAAAACCAAGACCATGCCCGACAGTTATAAACCAAGACCATGCCTGACAGCGGCAACCAAGACCATGCCCGAGAGTTAAAACCAAGACCATGCCCGAGAGTTATAACCAAGACCATGCCCGGAGAGTTGCAACCAAGTATTCATGCCCGAGAGTTATAAATCAAGACCACATGCCCGAGAGTGGTAACCAAGACTATGCCCGAGAGTTATAACCAAGACCATGCCCGACAGTTATAACCAAGACCATGCCCGACAGTTATAAATCCGCTAAGACCATGCCCGACAGTTATAAACCAAGACCATGCTCTAGGAGTTATAACCAAGACTTATGCCCGAGAGTTATAACCAAGACCATGCCTGAGAGTTATAACTAAGACCATGCCCGACAGTTATAACCAAGACCATGCCCGGATAGTTATAAAACTAAGACCATGCCTGAGAGTTATAACCAAGTATTCATGCCCGAGAGTTATAACTACACTATGCCTGAGAGTTATAACCAAGACTCATGCCCAAGAGTTATAACCAAGACCATGCCCGACAGTTATAACCAAGACTATGCTCGACAGTTAAAAAACTAAGACCATGCCCGGAGAGTTATAACTGGCACCATGCCTGAGAGTTATAACCAAGACCATGCCTGAGAGTTAAACCAAGACCATGCCTGAGAGTTATAACCAAGACCATGCCCGAGAGTTAAAACCAAGACCATGCCCGAGAGTTATAACCAAGACCATGGAGAGTTAAGACCATGCCCGGAGAGTTATAAATCAAGACCATGCCCGAGAGTTGAATCCACATCTGATGCCCGATAAAGAGAACTAAGACCATGCCCGACAGTTATAACCAAGACCATGTCCGACAGTTATAACTCGACCATGCCCCGATGCAAGTATAACCAAGACTATGCCCGACAGTTGCAACTAAGACTATGCCCGAGAGTTATAACCAAGACTATGCCCAAGAGTTATAACTGCTAAGACTATGCCCGACAGTTATAACCAAGACTACGCCTGAGAGTTATAACCAAGACCATGCCCGATGAAGTTATAATCAAGACCATGCCCGAGAGTTATAACCAAGACCTGCCTCGACAGTTATAACCAAGACTATGCCCGAGGAGTTAAAAACTATGACCATGCCCGAGAGTGGCAACCAGCACTATGCTCAGAGTTATAACTAAGACCATGCCCGACAGTTATAACTAAGACTATGCCCGACAGTGTTATAACCAAGACCATGCCCGAGAGTTGTAACCACACTATGCCCGAGAGTTAGTAAACCCAAGACCATGCCAGTTATAACTACATCTTTGCCCGACAGTTATAACCAAGACCATGCCCGACAGTTATAACTAAGACCAAGTCTGACAGTTATAACCAAGACCATGCCTGAGAGTTATAACCAAGACCATGCCTGAGAGTTGCAACCAAGACTATGCCTGAGAGTTAAAAAACCAAGACTATGCCCGGAGAGTTATAACCAAGACCATGCCCGAGGAGTTTATGTTCCAAGACTATGCCTGAGAAAGGCAATCAAGACTATGCCCAAGAGTTATAACCAAGTACTATGCCCGACAGTTATAACTAAGACCATGCCCGGAGAGTTAGAAACCAAGACTATGCCTAAGAGTTATAACCAAGAATCTCGCCCGAGAAGTTATAACCAAGAATTATGCCCAGAGAGTTATAACCAAGACCATGCCTGAGAGAGTTATAACCAAGACCATGCCTGAAAGAGTTAAAACCAAGACCATGCCCGAGAGTTATAAATCCGGCATTATGCCCGAGAGTGAGTGTTCCAAGACCATGCCCGAGAGTTATAACCAAGACTATGCCCGAGAGTTATAAATCAAGACCTTTCATGCCCGAGAAAGTAACTAAGACTATGCCCGGATAAAGTTATTATAACTAAGACCATGCCCGACAGTTATAACCAAGACCATGCCCGGACAGTTATAAACTAAGACCATGCCCGACAGTTATAACCAGATTCATGCCCGATGTTGCGACCAAGACCATGCCCGACAGTTGCGACTAAGACTATGCCCGACAGTTATGACTAAGACCATGCCCGACAGTTATAACCAAGACCATGCCCGACAGTTATAACTAAGAATTCATGCCCGACAGTTATAACCACATTCATGCCCGAAGTTATAACTAAGACGCCCGACAGTTCAAAAACACCCAGAAACCTTTATACTTATATCAGGTGCAGAGTTTGACTGGCCATTGTGCATTTGTGTCATCTCCTCTTAAAGAAAAACAGGTACTAACCCTGGTTTTTAAATTCTAACCACTGTACCCGAGTCAACAACATGTGCACAAGGCGATAGGATGGGGATGTTACTGCCATGGTCTCTTTACTCTATTGACTAATGGTATCATGATGGATGGCAAAGTTGACATATCAGATGAGTGAATGATTCTTCTCAAAAAATTATAAACCTGGTGACAAATTCATAGGTTATAGATGACAGTCAGTGCTAGTGGGGTGTAATAGGCTCCAACAATCAGTGCTAGTGGGTAATAGGCCCCAACAATCAGTGCTAGTGGTAATAGGCTCAACAATCAGTGCTAGTGGGGTGTAATAGGCTCCAACAATCAGTGCTAGTGGGTGTAATAGGCCCCAACAATCAGTGCTAGGTGGATAGGCTCCAACAATCAAAAGTGGGTATAGGCCCCAACAATCAGTGCTAGTGGGTGTAATAGGCCCCAACAATCAGTGCTAAGGGTAATAGCTCCCAACAATCAGTGCTAGTGGGTGTAATAGGCCCCAACAATCAGTGCTAGTAGGTGAATAGCCCAACAATCAGTACTAGGTGTAGGCTCCAACAATCAGTGCTAGTGGTGTAATAGCCCCAACAATCAAAAGTAGGGTGAATAGGCTCCAACAATCAGTGCAGGGGGTGTAATAGGCTCAAACAATCAGTACTAGTGGGTGTAATAGGTCCCAACAATCAGTGCTAGTGGGGTGTAATAGGCCCCAACAATCAGTGCTAGTGGGGTGAATAGGCCCAACAATCAGTGCTAGTGGGTGAATAGGCTCCAACAATCAGTGCTAGTGGGTGTAAAAGGCCCCAAACAATCAGTGCAGGTGGGTGGAATAGGCTCCAACAATCAGTGCTAGTGGGGTGTAATAGGCCCCAACAATCAGTACTAGTGGGTGTAGGCCCCAACAATCAGTGCTAGTGGGTGTAATAGGCCCCAACAATCAGTGCTAGTGGGTGAATAGGCTCCAACAATCAGTGCAGTGGATGGAATAGGCTCCAACAATCAGTACTAGTGGGTGTAATAGGCCCCAACAATCAGTGCTAGTGGGGTGTATAGGCTCAACAATCAGTACTAGTGGGGTGTATAGGCTCCAACAATCAGTACTAGTGGGTGTATAGGTCCCAACAATCAGTACTAGTGTAATAGGTCCCAACAATCAGTGCTAGTGGGGTATAGGCTCCAACAATCAGTACTAGTGGGTGTAATAGGCCCCAACAATCAAGTTAGTGGGTGTAAGAAAACTCCAACAATCAGTGCTAGGGTGTGTAATAGGCCCCAACAATCAGTGCTAATAGCCCCAACAATCAGTGCTAGTGGTGGAATAGGGCTCCAACAATCAGTGCTAGTGGGTAAGGGCCCCAACAATCAGTGCTAGTGGGTAATAGGCCCCAACAATCAATGCAGGGGTGAATAGGCTCCAACAATCAGTGCTAGTGGGGTGTATAGGTCCCAACAATCAGTGCTAGTGGGGTGTAAAGGGCCCCTAACAATCAGTGACTAGTGGGGGTGTAATAGGCTCCAAATCAGTACTAGTGTAATAGCTCCAACAATCAAAATGTGGGTGTATAGGCCCCAAATCAGTAAAGGTAAGCCCAACAATCAGTGCTAGTGAGGTGTAATAGGTCCCAACAATTGAAAAGTAGTGGGTAATAGGCCCCAACAATCAGTACTATGTGGGTGTAATAGGCTCAACAATCAAGTACAGGGTGTAATAGGCTCCAACAATCAGTACTAAGTGGGGGTAATAGGCCCCAACAATCAAAGTTGTGGTGGATAGGCCCCAACAATCAGTGCTAGTGGGTGTAATAGGCCCAACAATCAGTGCTAGTGGGTGTAATAGGCCCCAACAATCAAAAAGCAGGGTGAATAGGCTCCAACAATCAGTGCTAGTGGGTGTATAGGGCCCCAACAATCAGTGCTAGTGGGTGTTATAGGCCCCAACAATCAGTGCTAGTGGGGTGAATAGTCTAACAATCAGTGCTAGTGGGGTGAATAGGCTCCAACAATCAGTACTAGTGGGGTAATAGGTCCCAACAATCAGTGCTAGTGGGTGGAATAGGCTCCAACAATCAGTACTAGTGGGTGTATGAACAATCAGTGCTAGTGTAATAGGCTCCAACAATCAGTGCTAGTGGGGTGTAATAGCCCCAACAATCAGTGCTAGTGGGGTGGAATAGGCCCAACAATCAGTGCTAGGGTGTAATAGGCTCAACAATCAAAGTAGTGGGTATAGGCTCCAACAATCAGTGCTAGTGGGTGTAATAGGCCCCAACAATCAGTGCTAGTGGGTAATAGGCCCCAACAATCAGTGCTAGTGGTGGAATAGGCCCCAACAATCAGTGCTAGTGGTAATAGGCCCCAACAATCAAAATGCAGTGGGTAATAGCCCCAACAATCAGTGCTAGTGGGTGGTAAAAGGCCCCAAATAATGGTGCTAGTGTAATAGGCCCCAACAATCAGTGCTAGTGGGTGTAATAGGCCCCAACAATCGTGCTAGGGTGTAATAGGCCCCAACAATCAGTGCTAGTGGGTGAATAGGCCCAACATTCAGTGCTAGTGGTGGAATAGGCTCCAACAATCAGTACTAGGGTGGAATAGGCCCCAACAATCAGTGCTAGTGGGGTGAATAGGCTCCAACAATCAGTACTAGTGGGTAATAGGCCCCAACAATCAGTGCTAGTGGGGTGGAATAGGCTCCAACAATCAGTACTAGTGGGGTGTAATAGGTCCCAACAATCAGTGCTAGTGGGGTGGAATAGGCTCCAACAATCAGTACTAGTGGGGTGTAATAGGCCCCAACAATCAGTGCTAGTGGGGTGGAATAGGTCCCAACAATCAGTAGTAGTGGGGTGGAATAGGTCCCAACTATCAGTAGTAGTGGGGTGGAATAGGTCCCAACAATCAGTAGTAGTGGGGTGGAATAGGTCCCAACTATCAGTAGTAGTGGGGTGGAATGGGTCCCAACTATCAGTACTTATTGTAACTGCTAATTTAGTTAGGGAGTTATATATATTTTGCTTTTAATTTAGGTTATATTTAGTTAAAGTAATATTTAATAGTTACCTGAATTGTAAATAATTACTCCCGATTAAAATATTAGTCTTGCGCGAGTCTGCATTCCTTAATCTGTACGCCCATCCTACCAGCTACCGTTGAATGTCCAATTACCTGCCATCGTCAGTTCCTTAATGATGCTGACCAGAGAAACACAACACTCACCACCTTCAGTAAAAACCAGCAGTCTTGGAGGGGCTCACCAACTAAGCTCAACCATTTATTCCTGACCTCCATCCGCATCAGCAGACCTTGAGTATCAATTTATATTGTAGGATATCCTAGCTTTGTATACTACTTTATACTGTACCTAGTTTGATGTATTATAAACTCTGACATTGCAACTTTTGGTAATCACCCATTTTGAGTGTTTATTTAATACATATAATGTAATGTAAATATTTCTTGTCCTGAGGAAAAGTGGTGTGGTAAGGCACAGATATTATTATGGAATACATTACCAAAGGAATCACTTGTTCACATACAATGATAACTGAGGAAAGATTTGACCATGCTCATCATTTCTGCTGATCTGTGTGGATGGAGTTTGTTTTCTCCTGTATTTTGAATGTCTTAGATTTTAAAAAGGCAATAAGTGTTTGTGTAGTATTTAGTACTGTAGTGTGTACAGTTGTATTGGTTTATTGGAGTGGAAGTAAGAGTGTGTGAGGCAGGAAGGGTCTGGAGGAGTACAACACTTAACTTACTACACTCTTAGGGAAGTTCTCTCAATGTCCTCTCTCATTTATGGTAATTTTTGTTAAGTTTGTCTTCTGTAAACATTTATATTAAGATTATCGATTTTCTGTAATGGAAAATGAATGAGTCGGGTGTCATTTGCAGGTCCTTTGGTGAAGTTGATGATGTCAGCCCTCAAGTCATCTGGCTGGTGAGTTAGACACTAAAATCTGGCTTTTAAAGATTGGTATGGGAAAATTGGTTCACAATTTTTTCTTTAACCACTTGTGTATCGGCTCCCCTCTGAGCTGGATAAAATCATCTGGCATTAGCCAGATTGTTCCATTTATTAACATTAAATAATATTACTTAAAACATATATACAGTCATGCGCCGGTTAACGTCCTAGATACGATCTTGGAAACGTGACATTGACCGAAATGAACGTTGTCCGATCATCACAAACTTTTTATTTATACTTACGTGTATGTGGAATACTACATACGTACATATACACTTTTACTCTTAAATCATTACTGTAATGTGATACAGGTGATTAATTTTTATCTCGTGCAAAATACATGACGTTTATATTAAAATTATTCACTGTTTTACAAGGATTCCAGCAACGCCAAGCAGATGGGGGAGAGAGAGGGTGGGAGCGAGCGAGGGGGCGTGGGGGAAGGGGAGGTAGTACGTTTGACAGTTGGCACAGGCCCAGGTCTAACGCGTGTACCTGTATATTTATCAGTTCTTAGGTGACTAAGCTTCTCTCTTATAAAAAGCCAGTGAAATGACCTGGGTGAATATAATTAACATTGTTGGGATTCTTGTAACATACTGATTAATTTGAATATAAACATGCTATAATTTGCACTAGACAAAACAATTTTAGTACCGTAATCAAATTAGTACATGTGCACTCCAGCTTTGCACTAACGTCATTTATTTCTATTATGTTTCTTTTAGTATGGTGTGTGCATGTAAATGGATGAAAATAAATGAAGAAATCTATGTAAATCTACCCAAAAATACAGTTGAAAAACTTTCTTATAAAATGTACTACAGTACTGTACACTAATGTACAACAATTTTTATCTCTTGAGCAAAATATATGACGTTTATATTCAAATTATTGGCTGTCTTGCAAGGATTCCAGCAATACAAATTATAATCTTCTAACTTTAGTCTGAGATATTATATAAGATAAAAACTGTTAGCCTAAAAGCCTGGCGGGGGGGGGGTGACTGACGGAGCCAGCTACGCCACCCAGTGAGGGATTGGGGGGGTGGGGGGGTTGAGGTGATAAGTTTGAGGCGAAGGTCTCTGTGTGTTTATTTAACAGTCCTACTAAGCTTCTCTCATTTTAAAATGCCAGTGATATGACCTAGAAATATAGCTGGGATTCTTGTAAGATACCGATTTATTTGAAAATAACATGTAATTCGCACTAGACATAACAATTTTAGTACCGTAATCAAATTAGTACAGTGACCCCTCGTTTAACGAACACCTCGGTTAACGTAATTTCGATTAACGAACTGCCTTCCATAAGGATCTTCAATTCGTTTAACGAAAAAAATTTTGCTTAACGAACTTCTTACGAACCGACCTCAACATGTTTTCGCTTGCACTGACCGGGCAACCAGCTTTAGTATCAGTCCGCCAATACATTAATCGGTTCTAGGGCTTAAATTCCTTACTATTTTTGTAAATATCAAGAAGTTTATACTATTCAATAATTTTAAAAGTTTAATATTCAATTTTTTAGTCATTTTAACAATTATTGAACATAATTGAAGGTAAAGTGACTAGTTTAATGCGCGGCATCCAGCCTCTTAACACAGCAAACAGGCGTCAGTCTCTCTGTTTTCACTGGAGGTAACATCTTGCTTGAGACTCTCTTCAACTAAACGCTTTTTTTCTGTGTTTCCAAGCAAATTATTGGTCATTTTGAAAATTATTTTACATATTGACAATATATAGTGCAGTGCAGTGTTACTTTAAAGAAAATATTCTTTATTTACAGCTAGTTTAACTTTGAAAAATACGTGTTGCCATTGTTTGAATCCAGCATGGGGCCTAAGAGATCAAGAAAAGTGATTTCAATCCAAATAAAGCAGGAAATAATAAAAAAACACGAACAAGGTATTAAATCAAATGCGCTATGCAAAGAATATGGCATGTCGGCATCAACTGTGTCGACAATTCTTGCACAAAAAGACAAATTTAAGGAAGTGAACGTGAGAGACAAATCTACAAGAGTGTTTAAAAGTAGATCCCTAATCGTAGAAACTGAGAGGTTACTTATCATCTGGATTAGGGAAAAACAGATGAAAGGTGATTCAGTTTCTGGTGATTTCATTTGTGAAAGAGCCAGGGAGATTTATGAACATTTAAAGACAGATCAACCTGGTTCTTCAGGAACAGAATTTGAAGATTTTCGGGCTAGCAAAGGCTGGTTCGAAAAATTTAAGAAAAGAAGTGACATTTTAAGTGTTGTTAGGCATGGTGAAGCTGCTAGTGCTGATAAAGAAGGGGCAGCAAAGTTTTTAATTGAATTTAAAAAACTGATGGAAGAAGAAAATTATCTTCCACAGCAAGTGTTCAATGTTGACGAAACTGGGCTGTTCTGGAAAAAGATGCCCAAAAGAACATTCATCACCAAGGATGAAGCCTCTTTACCTGGGCATAAACCCATGAAAGACCGTCTCACTCTATTGCTTGGTGCCAATGCTTCAGGGGATTTCCGACTGAAGCCTATGCTTGTCTACCACTCTGAAAACCCCAGGGTGTTCAAGCAACAGAAAGTGGTAAGAACAAGGCTTGGAGTCTATTGGAAGTCCAACCGTAAGGCATGGGTGACAAGACAGTTCTTTAATGAATGGGCTGTTGATGTGTTTTGCCCCTCTGTCAAGAGCTACCTAACCACCAATAAACTTCCTTTAAAGGCTCTTCTCCTCATGGATAATGCTCCTGGTCATGACCCTGACCTTGCCAGAAATTTGGAGTATCAATTTGACTTTGTGAAAGTGTTGTTTTTGCCTCCAAACACTACATCACTCATACAGCCAATGGACCAGAATGTGATCAGCAACTTCAAGAAGTTGTACATGAAGAAAATGTTTAGGAGGTGTCATCAGGCAACTTCCATTGATCCTGAACTAACACTGAAACAGTTCTGGAAGACACAATTCAACGTCCTGGAGGCTGTAAAATTGATTGTGTCATCATGGCAAGAAGTCTCCAATAGAACCCTCAATTCTTCATGGAAAGCACTGTGGCCATCAGTAGTCCATGATTTTGAGGGATTTGAGGATGACACAGAGTTGGACCAGGAGATTGTGTCCATTGGTCAGTCATTGGGTCTTGAAGTGGAGGAGAAGGATGTGGAAGAGCTTGTGATGTCTCATGAGGAGGAACTTACTCCTAATGACTTGAAGGAACTGGATGAGATGTTACGGGTAGAGGCTGACAGTGGTGAGGAGGAAATTGAAAGTGATGACCATATGTCAGCTAAACAGTTGAAAGATGTGATTTACCACTGGGAGAAGTTCAGGGAACTGGCTTCAAAGCACCCAGAAGTGGAAAAAACTGAACTAACTTTGTGTCATGTTGAGGACTCAGTGGTCTCCTTCTTTAAACATAAGTTAATGGTGAGGAGGACAGATGCCCCACAGACCACAATTGACACTTTCTTCAGTAAAAGGCAGAGGGAACAAGATGCTAGCCCTCAGCCTTCCACTTCAAGAAGGAGAGAGGATGTTCATGGTGGAGAATCTGTCAGTCCAGAGGTTCCTGACATTTTCATGGAAGGTGACTCACCTTCCAAGAAGCAGTAAAATGCTTCTCCTCCACCTCCACTTCCTTCTCTTCTCCCTTCTCCTCCTGCACCTCCCACTTCAAATGCACATCATCACCATCATCCAGGAGCCTTCTACATACACACCTCAAAGTAAGTAAATTTTTCCGCCATTTTTGTTGAAGTTAGGAAATTTTCGGTGAGCTGGAACCAATTACCCAAAAACCCATTGAAACAATGGTTTCGGTTAACGAACGTTTCGGTTAACGAACGTTTCGGTTAACGAACGACCTTCTGGAACGGATTGAGTTCGTTAACCGAGGGGCCACTGTACATGTACACTCCAGCTATGCACTAAGGTCATTTATTTATTTTATGTTTCTTTTAGTATGGTGTGTGCATGTAAATGGATGAAAATAAAAGAACAAATTTATGTAAATCTACCCAAAAATACAGTTGAAAAACTTTTTATAAAATGTACTACAGTATTGTACACTAATGTACTACATTTTTTATATCTTGAGCAAAATATATGAAGCTTATATTCAAATTAATCTCTGTCTAGCAAGGATTTCAGCAATGCAAATTATATTATCCTAACTATAGTCTGAGATATTATATAAAATAAACATAAAGAAATCACCAATCTTTTATCTTGGAACAGGAGGGTGGTGGGAAGAGAAGGGGAGCGGTAGGGGGCGGGAGGTGAGGTGACAGAATGTCTGGCGTTTGTTTGTTTATTTATTTGACATAAGATTTGACAGTTGGCGCTGAAGACCTGCCTGCGGGTTTATTTATCATTACAGTTGTACCCCGCTTTACGCGGTTTCACTTAACGCGATTTCTCATATACGCGGTGCCTCGCCAGAACCGAACTTTCACTTAACGCGGTTCATCTACCCATATACGCGCAGAGTGTCCAGCTCGAGACGCTATTTTTCGATTCGCCTCACCCGCCACCCGCTGTTCCCGCCTGTCTCGCCTCTCCCTCCTCCTCCTCCCTCCTTCCCGCCTCCCTCCGCCTGGGCAAGCCGCGCTGTAAGGTTGCGCAGTGTGTGTCTTCTACTAACGTAAGTGTTACACCTAACTTTTAGTTTTCCTAACCTAACCTTTATTTTTCCTAACTTAACCTTTATTTTTCCTAATCTAACCTCTTCTATATTATTTGTTTGTTCATACCATCATAAAGTTAAGATAAAATTTTTACTACAACATAGTTGTGTATCGTCAAAAAGTGGAGTTTTGGGGTCGGGCCAGTCTCTATTGGAATTAATCCCATATGTTCTGTTGTTCACTTAACGCGGTACCCTGTGGGTTCAATTGACCGCATAAATCGGGGTACAACTGTACTTAAGAGTGACTAAGCTCTTCTCATAATTTGCCACCCAAACGACTTGGGTGAATAAAACTTACATTGGAGGGATTCTTGTAAGATAGTAATTTATTTGAATACCTGTATAAACATGCTATATTTGCAATAGACATAACAATTTTAGTACCATAATCATTTAGTACATGTACAATACAGGTGTGCACTTGGTCCATTGTTACTGTACAATATTGACTAAATTCACTAGATAACGTACGCCTGGCAGCACAATCTATAAGAATACGCGATGCATACGTTACTGTGCCCGCTCTAGATCCATTTTGGTTCGCTAGGGAGGGGGGCACGGACGTATATGCGATCGGACGTTGTTTGGTCGGACGTTAACCGGCGCATGACTGTATTCATTTTTTTACATAATTTTACTACAGCTCCACACACGGTCTTATTTTGTTATTTTTCTTATGTAGAACCATCGTCCCGTACTCCCGGCTGTAAACAATGGCATTCCTCTCATCTTGTGTGACCATATTATTATTATTGATTTATATTGTATAAGGTGCATTCATAAACATTATTTAAGGAATATAGTTTGCATTTCTCATTAATTTTATTGTTTTGGGGGAAAAGAGGGTAAAAAGCCACACAAAAGATATGGAAGGTCACACTGGGGAACACATCTCATTATTATTGCTTTATTTTAATGGTTAATTAATGATTCACGATAAGATGATTCACCTTACACAGCAATATTGGAGGACACATTACCGTCGTTATTCGAGGCTTTACTGTACTGTATTCTGCAGGTAGTTTTATGAAATATAATTTAATCATTTTGGGTATAATATATATCATAAGATGTACACTACAGACCCAGAAAGGTAAGCAATCACTACCGTCTGTTTGGCATCACCATGACTCCGAGGCGCTAAGCAGCTTGTGTCTTGCCTTTATTCATTACACATGCAAACTTACCCTAGTAAACATTATGATATATGCCATATTCAGTGTATTATCTACCACAAATATAATGAAATAGACTCGAATTTCAGAGCATTTCAGATAAGGGATACCCAACCTATATTGGAAAGTACTGTACTCTGTAAAGGTGTTATACAATCATTATCAATATTTTCATATACAGTAGACCCTTGCCATTCACGAGGGATAGGTTCCAAGAAATGGCGCGAATTGGCAAAACCGCGAATAGCAACTTATATAATACCCTAGTGCACTATTATATAGGTATACCTGTACTGTGTATGAGAAACTTAAGTCACAGTACTGTACTTACATTCAAATGTGGAAGACTGGAGCCTTCTCAGTTTTCACCTGCACCACTTTAGCACTTGCTTGAACAGAATCACGAATTGCTTGTACATTCTTTCTTATGTACCGCACTGTGGATTCGTTACGCCAAACAACCAACCAACCACGGTAGCACTCATCCCCTCCTTTAATTTGCACTGGGTGAGGGCAAGCAGAGCGGGGTGAGATGCCGCGTGGGGTGACTCGTTGCGCTGAGGGAGAAGGCTCGCATGCTAGCCACCCGAGCCACCAGCTGCTTACCGCGAATCGTCGAAATCATGAATCATAAACCTGCGAATAGGAAGGATTTATTGTACATTGGCTATTCTCTTCAGTAAAGTATTTTGATAATTTCAAAATAAACTTTGTGTAAAATAATCTATCATTATTATTAAAGAAAAAACATTTCAGGAAAAGAATAAAGTAATCCAATGATTTAAGTAATTACACAATTTCAAGAGAGAAAGAGAGCGAGAGAATGCCAGGTACAAAACTTGTTAATCCTATATATTGTATAATACAGTACAGCTCCTCCCCGACTTATGACCTGGATTTGGGTCCCTAACCCCGTCGTAAGTTGGGGAGCAGCTGTAATTGGTGGTGGAGGAGTGGCGAAACCATTTGATGTTCTGTTATTTTTTCTGTCTGGTTAATCAAGTGTAAGTAGTTATTCGGGTAAAAAGATGCATAACTATACTGTATTGATGATTTTGATACTTGTGTATTCGTAAACTATTTACAGTATGGTGTGATCAAAGCTTATTGAGTTATATACTCTACTGTATCATATTGATGATTTTCAGTGAAGTGGATCTCACACGACACATCTCCTGTGAAGTGTGCGATGTGTCTGTCAGTGGAGGCTATGATTCTGAGCTGAACCAAGTGAGTTCTTGTAATTAACCAAACCAGTGTTATTATGTTGATGGTCTCTTGTTTTTGTTTAGTGTGTGTATGTGTGGATGCCCGCTTTATGTGCATGCCTGCCTACTTTTGTGTTCAAGTGCCAAAAAGGAATTAAGTTGATGGGTTGAATGGTGTCTGAAGCACTTTTCATTTGTGAGAAAGTGGTTGTTTAATGTGAAGCAGAACAAAGTTGAAATAAGTAGTTTTGTAAGGAATAACTGTTTCCACTAAAATATCCCAACAGTGTCTGGGTCACCACTTGTAGACATTTCTGCCTCTGAGTTATGATTATTACTTTGTGATTGACATTAAGTTATTTTAGAGATAGCGATCAGCTGAGGATTTAGATACCGTATATACTCGTCTATAACCCCCCTTCGTATATAGGTCGACCCTGATTTTTTTACCAAGAAATCGTTAATTTATGATATTCCTCGTTTATAGGTCGACCCAAGTTTTTGAGGGTAAAGGAACAACAAAACCTTCAGAAAAACACTACGTCCTATAAACTTGTTTACCATTTATTATTACGACACTTTACACTGAAACGCGGGTAGTTTCAACAAAAATATTGTATATTTCCATTCAAGTATTTATTCAAGTCAATTAGGAGGGAATATTATTGTAATACAATAGTTTTTTAACTGAAAACCATTTGAAAAGCGATTACGGTAACATATTTTGAACGAAAGAAAGCAAAAGCCATTGTTTTCGTCACAATTTTATCCCACTTTCCACTGTAATACGTACGTCATTTCAGCAAAAAATATTACATTTCCGTGAATGTATTATATCAACCACAGTATGAATAGAATATCACTAATATAACAGTATTTTAACTGAAAACTATTAAAAAAACGAGTAACAAATCTTGAACATCGGAAGGTTTGGTAAAGTCTTGTTTTCGTCATGTAGTTTATCCTAATTTACATTGAAATACATTACGTTTTAGCAAAACTACTATTTATTTCTGAGAATATGGAAATGTAATATTTTTGCTGAAATGAGGTACGTATTATAGTGGAAAGTGGGATAAAATCGTGACAAAAACAATTACTTTCGCTTTCTTTCGTTGAAAAGATGTTACCGTAATCGCTTTTCAAATGGTTTTCAGTTAAAAACTGTTGCATTACAATAATATTCTATCCTAATTCACTTGTGATGTAACAGTTTTTGAACTGAAAACGATTCGAAAAACACGTGTACCGTCTAGCTGATACGGCAGAGCCCTGGTCGCGGAGGCTTTGTGTTTGCATCGGCCCTTCTTAAGCAGTTTTTAATTTTAGCGTACGTTGAAATTGTGTTTACCGGTATATTCTTATTTTCTTGCTTCTTATTTTCCAGAAATATGACAAGTTTGTATATAATACAATGTTACGGTACTTTTAATTTACAAGTATTCATTTTTAAAAATACAGAAGACACCAAACAAATACCAGTACTACGGTTATTTGCGTGACTCTCCCGCCAAAAAAGACCAAACAGCTGGTACTCTCTCCCTCAGCCCTACCAAAAATAGCCCAACATCTTTCTTGTTTATTCTCTTCCAATTTCTCACTTTAACTGGTATTTTTTACTTCATATTGCCTACATCAGATAAACTACAGTAATTGAGGTTAGACACTGTTATAAATTTGATTACCGGGTCCTGGCAGGTGCCGTTAGAACCACCTGACCCTACCAACAGTGTTGCAAGTCAGACAGCATTTTTTTAATCATCCATGTGCACGAGAAAGGATGGATGGATGAAAGCGGTATACAAATATGGCTTAAAAAAGTCTGGAACTTTAGACCAGGGGGACTGCGCAAAGAAAAAAGTCTTATTGTGTGGGATATGTTTCGGTCACATCTTGTTGACAGTGTTACTGCTGGGATTAGGAAGGAAAACACTGATACAGCTGTGATTCCTGGTGGATTAACAAGTCTTGTCCAACCACTGGATGTTTCCATAAAAAAAACATTTAAAGATGTGGTAAGAGTGAAGTGGAACAACTGGATGATAGAAGGCGATAAGACATACACAAATGGAGGCAACATCCAAGCTCCATCACTAGCAACATTACGTGAATGGATTGTAGAGGCCTGGGATGCAATCAGACCAGAAATTGTGGTGAAATCTTTTAAGAAATGTGGGATTTCGAATGCTCTTGATGGAACAGAAGACGACTTGTTGTGGGATTATGAGGCTAATGAGAGCGTGAATGAGGATGAAGATATTGATGAACCTATGGCTGATGATGGTGTTGATCCATATGACGATGCTGTTCAAGGAGAGGACTGGGAGGAGCTGTTTGGTGCTGCAGATGATGACAAGGAAAATGATTTTGATGGATTTTAATGAAAATATTCAGAAATATGGTATCGTAGTATTTATTCAAGTCAATTAGGATAGAATATTATCGTAATACAACAGTTTTTTAACTGAAAACCATTCGAAAAGCGATTATGGCAAAATCTTTTGAACGACGAAAGAAAGTAAAAGTCATTGTTTTCGTCACAATTTTATCCCACTTTCCACTGTAATACATACGTCATTTCAGCAAAAATATTACATTTCCATATTTATTTCTGAGAATATATTCATTCAGGCACAGTTAAGGTAAAATATACTTGTGATGTAATATTTTAATGAAAATATTTATAAATAAGGTATCGTATTTTTCTTTTGTTTCAAATTTAATAAACTTTTAAAAATGAATACTTTATGTTTTGCATCGTTCTGTGCTACCATACCATGCATTTGGCTACTTTGGGCTTGCTATGATGACGCAAGAGATCTGCCCTGGCAACTGTACCGACACTCACAGCGGGTGGTGCGTTGGTGCATCGTTTCCATTGTTTACTGGTAGTTACTGGTAAATATTTTTCAACCTAACGAAACTGTTACCCGTATAGAGGTCGACCCCAACTTTTTACCAAAGAATTTGGTCTTAAGAACTCGTGCTATATACGGTATTTGAGTCAAACATACATTAGATGATGATGATGATGATGATGAGGTTTATATGAGGAAATGTGGATCGCTGAAACCTGAATAAATGAGCTTGGTACGGAGTTAATGCAGCATAATACATATTATTTGTTCTTGTAGACTATTTTATTGTTGGTCTTAGTTTCCAGTGTTGTGTCTTAGGTGAATATTGTTATCCTGTACATAATAGTTTTAACATGAATAATAATTGATTGATTTCTGGACAGGTTGTGATCTGTCAGAATGTGACGAGATCAGAAGGTATGACCCAGGGAGTGTTGACCCATGAGCTGATACACATGTTTGATTACTGCCGCAATAAACTTGACTTCAAAAACCTGGAGCACTTAGCCTGCACCGAGATAAGAGCTGCCAACCTGGCCCACTGCTCCTTTCTCTCCGCATTTTCTCAGGGTGACGCTTCGCCTATTAAAATTGCCAAAGCTCACCAGGTAAGATAGACAATAAGTACTGTACCAATAAGATTATATGTCAGTCTCTTTATCACTTCTGCATGATGGCATTCAAGTCAAACCTTTGCCACATTAATTATTTTAATTTTTCCAGTGTGTTCCATTTGTGCTGTAGGGTAGCCAGAACCAAGAGCAAACACAGATTTCCTTTTCCTCTGTTGTCATTCATTCAATCTAATTGTTGTAACATCCTCTTGAACTATTCAAAACCAAGGCCTCCTGTCATTCATCTGCAGTGCTGCTTCATGGGTGTTCATCCTCCTCAGTTCTAGTACATGCAGTACAGTACAATACAGTACAGCCTTTATCCCAGTGCTGAATTAATCATGGTGCAGTTGTATGAAGGCCTCCCAAAATATGAAATGAACATAAGGTACTAGATTTATAATAGTAATACAATTGGTGCAGAGCACTCCCGGGAATGAGAGATTTCTGGCTAACCAGGCGACTTTCTCAAACCTGGAAAAATTATTATCCCCGGAATCTATTCCGGTTACTGGGAAAAGTTTTCGAGTGTCTAAACTGGACATCTTTGCACAGACACACACTAGACCACTTTCCCAGAATGTTTCTGGGTGCTGGGGATGTTTCCCTTGACTCTAAACTACTGTATACTGTAGTCCATAAATGCAGTTATAATTAAATTAGAAACTCCATTTCTTTATTATAATAATCCAGAATAATTTATCTAAAACTTTTGTTAAATAAATATATTTGAAACTTCAAAATATAGGTGATATAGGTGTGAATGAAGCTGTGTGTTACAGCAAAGACTGGTATTTTCCACTCGCATGGAGCTGTGGGGGATTAGTGGGTCTTATGTAACTGACCTGACCTGACACAATGTCAGGTGGAGGTAGGGTGGGGGATTAATGGGTCTCATGACCGGAAGATGTCTTGAATAAACACGAAACCTAAAGTATATTTAGGGAGACTGTGATAAGTATAAATGAGAAAAGTTGTATCTCTTCAACGTTACAGTACATTACATAACATTTTAAAATATGGAGTGAGAAAACTGTTCTGGAAAAATTCTGAGCTAATTTAAATTCCAGCTAATGGAGATTTCCGGTTTAGAGGGATTCCAGCTAATGGAGATATTACTACTACTAATAATAATACACACTGATATAAGGGAGACAACAAAGCTGTTTTTATCAGGCCTCCCCTACCGTCCTCCCCCAGACAGATGGGCAGAGACGTGTTTGTGAGCCACTAAGCCAGGCCGTGCACCCCTCCCCTACCTCCCAGTCACCCTCTTCCTTCCCCAGTGTTTGAAGCTGCTATCCCAGTTTGTCCGCTCGCACTGAATCCCATTTATTTACTGTCATCGCTATACTCGGTGCTCGGGAACACATCCTTATTTCCCCCATGTATTTATTCCCTCCATTACATGAGTTTTCGCTATACGAGCAGACTCCAAGTAAAGTATCTACACGTATTATCGAGATTTTACTGTATTTCAAATAAATTCTTTGTTTAGTTCCTGACATAGAGACTTGGGGATATAAACTAATAATTTGAGCTTATTAATACCAGTACCCTTCATATTCAGTGGTCCCTCGGTTAACGAGCGCCTCGGTTAACGAGATTTCGGTTAACGAGTTACCTTCCATAAGATTCTTAACTTCAGTTAACAAGCAATCCCTCGATTAACGAGTTTCTTACGAGCCGACCTCAACATGTTTTCTCTTGCATTTGGCGGTCCACCAGCTGTAGTATTAGTCCGCCAATACAGTAATTGGTTCTAGGGCTTATACAGGTTGACAACCCTTTATCCGAAATTCCGAAAACCGAAAAGCTCTAAAAACCGAAAGTTTTTTTGTGGGGCAAAACTTTTTTTTTTTTTTAACAGGGATTATTAGCCCACCCAGGCATAGATCACTGACCCACATCGGGGCCTGGGGGGCGAAAATGTAATAGTAATAATAATAATAATAATAATAATAATAATAATTATTCATAGTAAATAAAAATTTTAATAAAAATACTCCAAAATAAAATAATAATGATTACAATTAATAATAATAATAATAAAATATATAATAAAATTAATAATAATAATAATAATAACAATAATACTGTAATAGTAAAATAATAATACAGTAAAGAAATAAGAATGAAAAAAAGATCAAAAGTGAGAAACACGACCTAGACCTATGAATTATTATTATTATAATTGTTATTATATTTTCGACCCCGAAGCCCCAATGTGGGTCAGTGATCCATGCCCGGGTGGGCTAATACACACACAAAAAATAACCTAACCATTCTGAAAACCGAAAAATTCCAAAAACCGACATGCCTCTGGCCCCAAGGATTTCGGATAAAGGGTTGTCAACCTGTATTCATTACCATTTCAGTAAATATCAAAAAGTTTATACTATTCAATAATTTTAAAAGTTTAATATTAAATTTTTTAGTCGTTGTGACAATTATTGAACATAATTGAAGTACAGGGAACTAGTTTTATGCGCGCCATCCAGCCTGGCAACACACCAAATAGGCGCCAGTCTCTCTGTCTTTTCAGTGGAGGTAACATCTTGCTTGAGATTCTTCAACTAAACACTTTTTTCTGTGTTTCCAAGCAAATTATTGGTCATTTTGAAATTTATTTTACATATTGACAATATATAATGCAGTGCAGTGTTGATTTAAAGAAAATAATCTTGAATTACACCAAGAGAACTAAAATTTATGGGTGAAATGGCGCCATGGGGTGACTTCTCTTCTACCCCATTGCCTTCTCTTTTTCCTTCTCCACCCCCATTCTAATTCCCATCATCATCATCATCCAGGAGCCTTCTACATACACACCTCAAAGTGAGTGTACTTTTCTACTTTTTTTGTTGAATTTAAGCAATTTTCGGTGAGCTGGAACCAATTACCCCAAAACCCATTGAAACAATGGTTTCGGTTAACAAGTTTTTCAGTTAACGAGCAACCTAGCAACCTTCTAGAACGAATTGTGCTCGTTAACCGAGGGACCACTGTGTAGTAAAATACTTATTATTACCTTACTATTCAGCTTATCATTTAAGGATATTGTAAGCGCCATCCGGGCGTTTAAAGGTTAATCAGACTCTTCACGTTAAACTCGAATGTTATAATTCGGTCAAACCTGTTGAATACAATTCATTTTAGTATTTCAGATATATCATACATAGGCAATCATTCATAAATGCTTAATCCAATATATATTCACATAACAATCATAGCTATGTAATAAGTCTAATCATAACACTTATAATGAGTACTTAATTTGCCATATTTCTATGTTGTCACAATGATAACCGATGCAATGGACACAGTCTACCTGTGTAAACTTAAGTACCAATTAAACGTATGTGTTGAAAGTCTCAAGAGATACAGGTTAGGTGTTGCCTCTATGATGGGGATAGCTACAGTGCCAGTCCCTGCCCAGCGTCACATGCCCAGCCCTGGCTGGCCGAATTTGCTGGGTCAGGTGCTTATACACAAGCAAGCTCCCCTTACTACCACCCATCACCTCAACCTCCTCTGGGTCTCTCCATCTCCACCATCTCAACACTATATACAGTACTGTATACGGGCAGGCACACCCAATAAACATGACATGACTTAATAATAATAATAATAATAATTAACGGTTTATTGAAAAAAATTCTGCAACCCGAAGGCTGAAAATATACATTGGACATAAATGACTTATTACATACATTGGTGGTTTAACAAAAGCCTTCATTAGAGAAAGGTAAAGGAACATACAGTGAACATACAGATTAATGTAGGTGTTGAACTGCAAACTCGTAGTGTAGTAACTCCCTCCCAGATGGTGTTAGGAGGAACTCACGTGGTGTAGTAGTTCCCTCAGATGGTGTTATGAGGGACCTGGCGTGGTATAGTAATTCCCTCGCAGATGGTGTTATGAGGGGCCTCGGGTGGTGTAGTAATTCCCTCACAGATGGTGTCATGAGGGACCTCACGTGGTGTAGTAATTACCTCACAGATGGTGTTATGAAGGACCTCACGTGGTGTAGTAATTACCTCACAGATGGTCTTCTGAGGGGCCTCACGTGGTGTAGTAACTCCCTTACAGATGGTGTTATGAGGGGCATCACGTGGTGTAGTAATTCCCTCACAGATAGTGTTATGAAGGGCCTGGCGTGGTGTAAATTCCCTCACAGATGGTGTTATGAGGGACCTCCGTGGTGTAGTATTCCCTACAGATGGTGTGATGGGACTTGACGTTGTGTAGTAATTCCTCACATATGGTGTTATGAGGGACATGTGGTGTAGTACTTCCTCACAGATGGTGTTATATGAGTGAGGTTTGGTCTTAGGCCTTCCTATCGTGAGCGGATTAACATCGCTGGTTGTTGTTAGGTCTCACGGGCGTTATCACTGGGTACCTGGGACCTCACTGTGAAGTTTAACAGGTCGACTGTTACTGTTGAGCTGTTCTCACTGACAGGCACTGTTCACCACTGTTCACCACTGCTCACCTCTGTTACTGGTTCCCTTTCCTATGAAATTGTAACTTCTGGCGAGAACTTGTTGATATTCCGGTGGGGAGGAGGGTTCAGGAAGGGGTTGGTATGGGCCAACTTAACAGTTGACCTGGCTGCTCCGAGAGGAGCACCAGGTACGTCTTGACCCTTCAGTTTGTTTATGTGTCATCCTACTCATTACTGCTTGCGGTAACAGATATTATATTGTGAATGTCTTGAGAGAATTTAATCAGGATCATTATGGTATCAAATTCATCTCTCTAACACAAATAGAAGTTTATGATGAATGCTGTAGTCTGAAGGGAAAGGTTCATTGGAATGTCTGTACTGCCCCACCCGTCCTCCTTCATACTTCCTCTATACTATTAGCTGAGTGGTTCAAAGAAAATCAAACTAAATGTGTTCACAATTGGTGAGCAGACCTGTTATTATCTAAAATAATGTTAAATATGAACTATCAAAATGCAAATGATTTCAAGGCACTAGCACTTCAGAGAAGATGTTTGACATTTTTAAATACAGTGGTCCCTCGGTTAACAAGCACAATTCGTTCCAGCAGGTTGCTCGTTAACCAAAAAACTCGTTAATCGAAACCATTGTTTCAATGGGTTTTAGGTAATTGGTTCCAGCTCACCAAATTGCCTAAATTCAACAAGGTAAATACACTCACTTTGAGGTGTGTATGTAGAGCTCCTGGATTATGATGATGATGGGAATTAGAATGGGGGTGGAGGAGAAAGAGAAAAGAAGGCATTGGGTGGAAGAGAAGTCACCCCATGGTGCCATTTCACCCATAAAATTTTAGTTCTCTTGGTGTAATTCAAGATTATTTTCTTTAAATTAACACTGCACTACATTATATATTGTCAATATGTAAAATAAATTTCAAAATGACCAATAATTTGCTTGGAAACACAGAAAAAAAGTGTTTAGTTGGAGAGTCTCAAGCAAGATGTTACCTCCACTGAAAAGACAGAGTGACTGGCGCCTGTTTGGTGTGTTGCCAGGCTGGATGGCGCTCATGAAACTAGTTTCCCTCCCTTCAATTATGTTCAATAATTGTTAAAATGACTAAAAAATTTAATATTAAACTTTTAAAATTATTGAATAGTATAACCTTCTTTATATTTACTAAAATAGTAAGGAATTTAAGCCCTAAACCGATTACTGTATTGGCGGACTAATACTACAGCTGGTGGACACAAATCTGAAAAATATATATTTGAGTTGGAGCACAAAAGTTAGATTAATAAGGATTGCTCGTTAACCGAAGTTAAGAATCTTGTGGAAGGTAAATCATTAACCAAAACCTTGTTAACCGAGGGATCACTATATTTATCATAAAAGATTAAATACGTGATTATACAAACCAAAATACATATCATTTCAGGAATGTGTAAAAAACAAGGCTGCATTCTCTGTGATGGCTGTTCGTGAATAAGTGAGGCAGAGGCACGAGAGGTGGTCGACAGAGTGTTTGACAGGTGTTACAATGATCTCGAACCCATCGGAAGACGTATACGAAGAAATTCTTTAGACATGCATAAAGCATATAAGGAGCGCTATGCTTATGGATATGATTAGGTTATGGATCTTGTATATAATCTTTAATATTTCCAGATGTGTATATTGTAACTAAACTAATGGTTATAAATATTTTGTAGTTTGATAAACCTTGTAAATTATCATAATTGTAGTTTTCGTAATACTGAGAACTGTAAAAGAATAGTTTTTTATTATTACACAGCCTTTGTGTGTGTGTGCATTTGCACTTATAGACAATCAGTGTTCAACTTTGTGAAAACACCAGTAGTGATTATGTCTGCCAACTCTTTTATCTGAACACTGTGCAACATTAAACTAATGGACACCCACACTAGAAAGTGGCCATGCTGAAAGAAAGAGACCAGTGGCCTGTTCTCGATAGTCTTGTCAAGGGCTATTTTGAAGCCCAGTACTGTTCCTGATTCAATAGTTTGAGCTGGTAATATGTTCCATAGACCTGTCAGTGATCTATGCCCAGGTGGGCTAATCCCTGTTTAAAAAAATAAAAAGTTTGCCCCACAAAAAAAACTTTAGGTTCTCAGAGCTTTTCGGAATTTCGGATAAAGGGTTGTCAACCTGTGTGTGTGTGTGTGTGTGTGTGTGTGTGTGTGTGTGTGTGTGTGTGTGTGTGTGTGTGTGTGTGTGTGTGTGTGTGTGTGTGTGTGTGTGTGTGTGTGTGTGTGTGTGTGTGTGTGTGTGTGTGTGTGTGTGTGTGTGTGTGTGTGTGTGTGTGTGTGTGTGTGTGTGTGTGTGTGTGTGTGTGTGTGGATGTGTGTGTGTGTGTGTGTGTGTGTGTGTGTGTGTGTGTGTGTGTGTGTGTGTGTGTGTGTGTGTGTGTGTGTGTGTGTGTGTGTGTGTGTGTGTGTGTGTGTGTGTGTGTGTGTGTGTGTGTGTGTGTGTGTGTGTGTGTGTGTGTGTGTGTGTGTGTGTGTGTGTGTGTGTGTGTGTGTGTGTGTGTGTGTGTGTGTGTGTGTGTGTGTGTGTGTGTGTGTGTGTGTGTGTGTGTGTGTGTGTGTGTGTGTGTGTGTGTGTGTGTGTGTGTGTGTGTGTGTGTGTGTGTGTGTGTGTGTGTGTGTGTGTGTGTGTGTGTGTGTGTGTGTGTGTGTGTGTGTGTGTGTGTGTGTGTGTGTGTGTGTGTGTGTGTGTGTGTGTGTGTGTGTGTGTGTGTGTGTGTGTGTGTGTGTGTGTGTGTGTGTGTGTGTGTGTGTGTGTGTGTGTGTGTGTGTGTGTGTGTGTGTGTGTGTGTGTGTGTGTGTGTGTGTGTGTGTGTGTGTGTGTGTGTGTGTGTGTGTGTGTGTGTGTGTGTGTGTGTGTGTGTGTGTGTGTGTGTGTGTGTGTGTGTGTGTGTGTGTGTGTGTGTGTGTGTGTGTGTGTGTGTGTGTGTGTGTGTGTGTGTGTGTGTGTGTGTGTGTGTGTGTGTGTGTGTGTGTGTGTGTGTGTGTGTGTGTGTGTGTGTGTGTGTGTGTGTGTGTGTGTGTGTGTGTGTGTGTGTGTGTGTGTGTGTGTGTGTGTGTGTGTGTGTGTGTGTGTGTGTGTGTGTGTGTGTGTGTGTGTGTGTGTGTGTGTGTGTGTGTGTGTGTGTGTGTGTGTGTGTGTGTGTGTGTGTGTGTGTGTGTGTGTGTGTGTGTGTGTGTGTGTGTGTGTGTGTGTGTGTGTGTGTGTGTGTGTGTGTGTGTGTGTGTGTGTGTGTGTGTGTGTGTGTGTGTGTGTGTGTGTGTGTGTGTGTGTGTGTGTGTGTTAAAATCCTGCAGGAAAAATGGAAAAGGTACCTTAGCTTTAGTCTTTATTCAAGACATCTTCAGAAACAACTGGATTACATGGACAGAGAGAACCTAAATATACAGGGTGACCTAAAACATGAGGTTCCAGGTCATAATGATGACATCCACTAATCCCCCTAACACACTGCAAGAGAAGGGTGGTGACGTGACTAGTCAGGTCAGGTCAAAAATAAGGACCCTAAAATAACTATTATACATCAGATCAAAGGTTTTCAAAGCATTTTTAACCTTGGGCCACTGACAAATAAATTTATGTAACATATCAGTTTTGAACTGACCATCACTAAGGTTTATTGATTTTAATTCCTTAATCAAACTAGCTTCCACCAGAAGTCTTTCTGTGACACAAAGATGATTTGAATACTTCTAGCTTTTTTCCCCAAGCAATGGGGTGATTATTATTCTAACATGAATAAACAGGCACTGCTTTCAGATGCAGTTCTGATATTATACTTATGTTGTTTGATTCTGAGCTGCAGTGTTTTTCCTGTCTGACCTACATAATTACATTACATTTGCTACATGGAATACAATAAACACTTCCATTTATTCAAACTTGGGCTATTCTTATATATATTGGTAATGGTTGAGTCATATGAAAAACAACATTAATATTTAGAAGCTTGAGGGACTAACTAGCGGGACAAATTCAATACGATAGGGCAGAGTCAAAATATTCTTAAGTGTAAGAACACGGCTATCCCAAGGACTATTTCATGGATGCCATTCGTACCGCGAAGACTTCGACACTCACTCCCTGACAACAATTACTAATAATAGAAGACAGTTGAAGCTTTCCAACATCACTCTGAAGTGATCTTGAATGCTTCAACTGTAGTAGACAAATCTAAGTTGACTCTCAAAACAAAGGTGTTCTCTCTCACATTCAGATTTACTTTGGAGGTTGGTTTCAGGAAGTCAGAGAAAATGGACGGCACATAAACTAGGGAGTGATGAGAAAACGGACGCCTCAGATGGGAGACTCAATAAAAGAGGCATAGCTACATGTTTTGTGGGCTATTGAGCATAATATAATCGCCTGATTTTACGTTAACTGACGTCTACGACCGTGGTCAATACACTGTCAGTTGATTGAAAAGTACCAAAGGAGGGTCACCAGAGTGGTGCCTGCACTTCGGCACCTCAGCTACCGTGAGAGATTAGAGTGCTTGCAGTTACCCAGTTTATACTACAGACGGCAAAGGGGGGACCTAATAGAGGCGTATAAACATCTCAAAGGGCATTACTTAATCCCCACAAGGGGTCACAGGCTCACAGCTCAAGGTTGAAGAAGCCTCAAGTCCAGAAAACTGTAAGGGGTAACTTTCTCGGAGTGAGAGTTGTGAACTCGTGGAACAACCTGCCAGAGAGTGTTGTGACGACACTGAGTGTGAGCTCTTTCAAGACCAGACTTAAGCACAGAAGCAGGTTCAGATACATTCAGGAGCCGGTACATGCCCAGTACTTGCCAACAGTGCATAACAGAGACGTGACCGATTTCCCAAGCAGCTAACGAGCCGATCAGCGCCACGTAATAATTTATTTTAAAGCGTTTCTTTACCAAATATATATTTTTTGAGTACTTTATCGGATAAAATTACCAACAATATTAGTTGTTTGAAGTAGGCAGGGCTTTGAATTAGGGGGAAAATGTGGGGTATAGTACTAAAAATAACACCAAACAAACCTTTGAAAACCTGACTTATCGCTTCTTAATTTGTAAAATCCTATAACTATAAAAAGTTTACCCTATTTGTGGTTTCGGTGTTTAGTATGTGCTGGTGTTTTCGGTGTTCAGATGAGGGATCCATAAACTCAAAGTTTTTATTAACATTTTTACAAGTTAGGTCAGGTATTGAAAAGTTCGTTTAGTGTTATTTTTTCGTATTTTACCCAACATTTCCCCTTTACTTCAAAGCCAAGCCCACTTTGAACTAATAATCTTGGCAATTTTATTGGTTAAAATACCAGAAAATATAAATTTCAAACGAAAACGTCAGTGGAGAATTTTTTTTTTTTTTAAATTGCCTAAACTACATGATAGGTGTATTAAAAAAATGTGGGACAATTAAAAGCAATAATACCGTCGGTGTTGGCATCTTATAAATATAAACTACATTTTTATGTGTAAAATGCGCTTACAGTTTTTTTTAAGACACATACAGTATATAGTGTATAATTTGGGTGCCGGTTTGATGTGCTTGTTTACAAAAACGCACCAGCGCGGCCTCGGGCAACAGACCACGCTTGCCAGATGGCCGTTTCCACGACTAAGTTTCTCTAATTAGGCCGTAAAAAACTTTGCCTGGCTGTGAAAAAATGGATAGTTACGGCCAAACTATTTGGCCAAATTTTGTAAAACACGTATTAATTCCTCATCTAGTGGATTTTGAAGAAAAGTCTAGCAGATTTTCAAATTTCACAATGAAAATGCTGGCTCAGTGACCTCGCCTTGTCATGACCTTGTGGGGTACGGGTTGTTGGTTCACACTCAGGATGGGATGGAGAAAGGAAACTCACAATGTGCTCTCTGTATACATATTGTATTGGATGTACAGTGCAGCTTGGTGCTGGGAAGTGGCAGCGTGGTTACAAGCGTGATGTAGAGAGAGCTGGTTGGTGAGGATGCTCAGAGGAGGACCAGCTTGTGGGTCGCCATGGTTGCCGGCGGGAGCGAGGACCGCCAGGCAGGAGTGGAGGAGGAGGTGTTGCTTGAAGACTGGCTGTAGGTAGAAAGAGGGGTAGGTCACCAGGAGGTCAAGTCTTATATAGCGGAGGTAAGCGTGGCTTAATAGTTGACCTCCGTCATGTAAGGCGGCTCTGGTTGACCTAGACCACGAGGCATACACTGGGGAATTCGCGGGGTCGGCTACTCAGCGACAAAAGTGTTTGCAGGGGAGGAGTCCACTACAACCTCACCTAATCAGTGACCTCACCTCTTCACATGTTTACGTGACCTACTCGGCTGACTGATCTTTCTCGTTACTACCTTAGTTGTTAGTTCTCATATTTAAGTTGCTAAGGCTGAACGTGTCCAGCATATGGGTTAAGCTTCAGAGCTTATAAAGCCATCTGAGTTACTTTCTGAAATTCCGAGTGCTAGTTTTCAAAATGTTCACTAGTAAATGGAAAGGGTCCTAAGACAGTCGTAGAAAATGTAACAAACCAGTGGACGATGACGAACCAGACGTTTTTGCTTACACCAACTAGTGTTATCAAGTTCTCCACCATTATCATGCTCCACCACCATTTTGTAGGGGATACCTCCCCTACAAACGCTGTTTTTCGCTGAGTAGCCGACCCCACGAATTCCCCATATAGTCGATTTAG